CACGTCCAACGCAGGCTACAATTGTCAGTAGCGTTTTCAGGGCTCAAACCTCGGAAAAAATACTCTTTATTTGACTGTCAATGTTTAGCACGAAAGTTCTAATTGGGGACACTATTTCTACGTCTCCAACTGGTGACGGAACAGCCATTTTACGTGGTCATCCAAGCCACGCGAAGGTCTAACCACTTGCATTGCAGAGGCAGTACCTTCATTTCTCAGTTCCGTATTATTTTATGGCCCTGAGTTTTGGCCTGGAATCGAACCGACGACCTCCCGCCCTTCAGTCAAGCGCTTTACCGACTGAGCTAATTCTGCCGCAAACACAGATCTATCAGACCTGTGCACAAAATAAAAACTCTGCCTAGATCATTAATTAAATAACTTATACCCGGGCGTATACGCGCTCGAAAGAGTGAAACAGGGTTAACCCTCAAATTACCTAGGAGAATAGTAGCCGACAAGGGAAAAACCCCGAATCATTATACCGATTACATGATTGGTCGTTAAACCCGTCATTTCCTTTATGTTAGGATTTTTAACACAGTAATTAACTTAGATGAATAAACGCGTAAAAAACGAAAGGGAGAATTTTGTCGATTTTCTCATACATCAATCACTACTTGGCGCACTTTCGGACCATTGCCAACCGTTTTCTTTTTTCGCTGGAAAACTAATCTAATGCTTGTCTAAAATGATCTGGTACAATAATGTTCGGTGTAGTTGACGACACTCGGATATCAACATCATCACCACCAACACCACCATCATCATCATCATCATCATCACCACCACCACCACCATCATCATCATCATCATCATCATTATTGTCCTGCTTTCATCAGCAGTTTCTTTACTTTTTAATTTCTACTACCAGCTATTAATTGGAATAATTTTGTTGAGCGTGTGATTTTGAACAAGTATAAGGGAAATATAGATTATAATATATTCTTTATAACAGGAAGGATTTATTTTGACCTAAAGAAACGTTTAGTGACTCTTACAGTGGTGCATGTTTTCTCGATCTTTCAATGCCAGGGCTCTAAAATTAAAGTTTGCACGAACTGTAGCGATTGCGAATTAGCCGTTGACTGGTCTATTCTTGAACGCACTGAGTGAGTGAAACTTGAAATGACGTTTGCAAAATTAACAATCAAGGCAACTCTTTTCACATGAACCCTAGCAGTCTCTGAGTCGGTATGGTCACCGCGATGAAACCGTAACTAGTCTTGCTGTAGTCATGCCTGAGGTTCTTTCTATATATTGGTTAAACAGTTTAAAGAGGTCAAAGTGGCTTTCGTACGATCTAAAGAATGTGCCTCGGCATAACACCCTCCTCGATCTGCATAATTCTTTCAGATCATACTCAGCCTCATCCAATAATTGCTAATTATACACTGCAGGGGCGTAGCTTCTTTTAGGCCATTATGCCGGAGCTTAACAAGAATTTGGGTCAACGGAGCTGATGTAATCGCTTGTTTGCAGAGCTTGAAAATGTAACTCAATGTTAGATTGAGAAAACAGCCGACATTCCGTGACGCTACTCGTACCCAGTCGCTATTTATATGTATTTGGGGTGAGAGAAGATTAGGATTAGTCTTCTCTCACCCTAAATACACATATTAAATAGCTACTGGGTACGAGTCTGCCACCACCGCCGAGTTTCCCCGCGAAATGAATACTGAGAAACGAGCACAGATATTCCATACTGATAACGCGTCACTGCCCAGATCTGGGTAGGTGCTTCTGACTGGTCGTGCCGCGTGGGAAAATCAGTGTTTCACCCAATCAGAAGCACTACCTAGATCTGGGTAGTGACGCGTCATCAGTAGGGAATTTCTCCGCTTCTTGACTCACAGAAATCATTTATCGGGGAACCAGTGTTAGCGTTGGGAAATGTTGGCTGTTTGTTTAGGCTACTCAGAGTCTGTCGCTGTGATGGGCATGTAAAATTGGGACATAATTCACTAAGAAAACCTGTCGGTGAACGCCATCTTTGTTTTTCTGGTGGATTCGTTGTAGGGGTTCCTTTTGTTTACTTAAATCATTTATGTCAAAAACTCCTTACTCGTTAAGCTTTTTTGCTTTTCTTTTTTTTTTGGAAATTTGCCACTACTTTGAACTATCAAGCAGCAAGTGGCTCCTACAAAAAAGTTAATTTCATGCTCTAGTTAACTATGTTTTTTTTTTCTGCATAATTTGATCTTAAAATGCCACTTCGAACAAGCCAATCCATCTGAGTGGTTCTTTATTTCATTTTACTTGAAAATCTACCCTCGCTCTGCAATTCTATTTTGCCGCCAACTTACTGAGGTACACTGAGCAAAACAGTTGAAGACGTTACAACTGAGAAAGTCGCCACTGAGCTCATTTTTCTCCTCGCCAGGTCAGTGTCCAGTGTGACTCCAGAGAGATACGATTTTGCACAATGAGAATGGTGAAAATATGATACGTGCGATCTCTGGCACTGACAGAACGGCTGATTCTTAACTCTAGGTTGTACTCAAGCCAGAAAAAAAAAACGCCGACAGATGCTCACGTCTCTACTAACCTTGAGAGATATACATGTGTGTAGTACAGGTCTTTATAAATTAAGTCAAAAAGGCTTATGGTCATGATCAGATACTTCTCCCTGATGCTCTTTATCTGAAAGAGCTCGTACGTTGATCTATAACTCGCTGCTTGTTACCCGTCTAACGCCAATTTTTTTTTTTTTTTGCAAAAAGGAACGCCGGCTGTCAGTGCTGTTACTTGTTAAAGGTCAGTGTTGACTTGACTTACTTCTATTTCCTTATCTCACCCCTTCCAATTTGCTTGACTTTGAAATGGCTTTGAAAACAGCGCACGGGAATTGTGAATAACGAGACTGAGGACTGAAAGTTCATCAAAATAGACGAATGAATTAATTGCGTTCGATCCAGGGAATGCAGGATATGTCGTTTCCGAGAGTCCAATTTTCAGTTATTTTTTCTGGGGGAGCATGCGCATGCCCCCGGACCCCCCTATATAATTCGTGCATTCGGGGCTGACAGTACACTTGTTTCTGCAGTGACACTAGACGTGCTTAATGTTCAGTTAACAGCCCAAAAATCCTGCCCCCTCCAAAAATGTTGTAACCCTCCCCTTTGAGTATATTCGAATGTTGTATCGCGAGAATCCATATCAACGTAACTTTAAGACAATTATTTCACTGGAATAAAAAAGTGTTACTATTTACAATATTTTCGGGGGTAGAAGCAAAATCATTTGAATCTTGATATTCATGCTTCCTGTTGTTTTTTACCTCAGTGACTCATGATTTTCTTCCAGATTCATGATTCACAAAGACTTTTGATTACCTATGCATTTAATGATGTTCTCATTGGCTACCTAAGGTACGGTAAAACGGCCAACAAAAAGCGCAAAATATTTGCAAAATGGCTGCAAAATGAGTTGGATAGTGATGTTGCTCGTTTTACCACCAACGAAAACAAACCTTACAACCTTATTTCTTGCAAGACAGGGTCGAACATAGGTGGTAAAACGCGCAACATCACTATTCAACTTTGTTTGAAGCAATGTTGCAAAACAAGTTGCACGTTTTTTTTCAAGTGTTGCCCGTTTTACTGCAGCTTTTGTCTTGTTTTGTGTAGTTTCTTTGGTGTTCAAACTTCTGTTCTTATCCAGAATTGTGTAGATTTTGAGCCACTGTTTCTCGGTATCATCATTCATTTTATCCAGGTATGGAGGTTTTTGTTCACTTTTGAAATAATACCGCCCCCCCCCCCTCAATAGTTAATGACCGCTCCCTAAGGTTTTTCCTTGCACGTACGCCGGTTCTCCGTACACATTGTACTCTTTGCAGGTGGAAACGAAAACAACAGTCCGCGGCAAAATTGTGTTTTTTAACCAAAGTTTATTTACATTTTCATCTTGACGTTAGGCTGAACAAAAATTGCTCAACAATTACCAACATGTGCAAAAGACTAATATAGACTGAAGCATTGCTTCCACAGCCATTTTTGGAACAAAAATCGTGCCTTAAAATTATAACTTTTTTCTGTGAGGACCAAAATGTTCAAAGGCCTATACAAATACAAAGCAACAACATATAATACTATCAGATACTGTATATATACATTAACAAAAAAGTTCATTGCGGCCACTGACTCAGGAGGGCCTCCCTGGGGTTTACGGGAACAACAGAACATAACCGGAGGTCAATTTGTTCGTGACAAAAGGACTGGAGACAAGTTTGCTTCACGTGTCAACGCCCTTTGAAGTCATTGGTTGGACTTGACCACCATTACGATTCTTTGCTATGGAAACTCTGGAAACTTGGCAAAAACGAATTTCTTGGGGCATTATTAATTACTTTCTGGGAACAAGGGATAAACTTTAAATTATTAAGGGCAAAATTTAATGAACCCCTCACCCCGGGAGGCTCTCACTTTGGGCAGTCCAAAACCCGGTCAGTACAAAACACGGACTGTGGACTGGGTACAAACATGGACTAGGTCGACTGAAACGCAGGTTACGAACTTTGTTTTAAAAGCTTGGCTAGAAAGGTAAAAATGAGATTTGAAGATTACGGAATATGTAGTAATCACAGCAAGCGGATTTAAGTTGTTTACAGTATTTTCCTTGAGAGGGTCCTTCTATTAACCTTAAGGTGTAGCTTCGTTGTTAATACAGGAGCATTGACCCATGGCTAACTTTTCGTCATAACGTTTTCGGTTTTAACGAGATGGGTTCGAATTTTTGACATGAACTAAAGCTATCATTCAGCAATAACGGGAAATAATTCGATTTTGCTGGTGGCAAATAATGTCAATGAAATTAGCCCTTGACTGGACCGTAAGTTTCAAAGAAAATGGCGTCTAGTGAAAAATTTTTTTCCTGATATTTTTTACTGAAAATTCGAATATCAGCTTTTATTGATGCAATAAGTATGCCAAATAAATTTCAGAGAAATCCATGAAACAGATGTTTGTTACTAGAAAGTCATTTCAAAATTCAGCTGTGAAATTGTTTTGGAACTTCGAAAACGATTTGCTCTGAGGTAGAACGAGCCACCAATTCGCATTTCCGTCGCAACTAATTTCTCTGCCTGCTAATTCTTAAACAAAGCCGACTGACAATCGTTCTATTCTTTTAGGGGTACTCTTTAGTTTTTAAAGCAAGTTCAGTAGAAGTTGCTCCAATTCTTGCTCTGAATTCGAATAACTCAGTTGTTCTTCAAAATTTTTGAAATATCCTTCAGAAGTTTTGCATGGCTCAGGAACTCATGCGACATAGATTTCCAAGTAATGCAATACATCTTTATGTTTTTTACAGCAGGGCTGTGATTTGCTTCCAATTCAAGAAATAGGTGTCGGGATTTATCATTAGCTACCCTGTATCAGGCTATGTTCACACTATATACCGTTCACCCTGCAGTTTAGAGATCGGTGCGGCGCAGCTTCCACTGAGCTTCGCTCCGTCCACAGAAATCGCGCCGACACAACTGAACTGTCGAGCCTCTTTGTTTATCATGACCAAGTGAGCAGGTACGGCGGCAATTCTGCCAGGAATTCGCACCTCAGCCTGGGGTACGAATAAGATAATAGAGAGATTGAGTATCGCGTTTACCGCAAACGGCAAACGTGAATTCTAGTTGAGAAATTTTCAAAACTGAGAAATGAGCAGATAAAAACAGCTTAAAACAATTGTTATGGATAGAATTGGCGTGAATCTGCCGATTTTCCACGATAAGTAAATGGAAAGATTGGTCATGTGGTACAAATTCACGTTTGCCGTTTGCCGTAAATAAACGCGATGCTTAATCTCTCTAATGTTGCCCATGCCTACGAACCGATGTGTACATAAAAAAGAAAAATTCTACCCAGCCATTAAATAACGAAGGCACGAAATTTATACAGAGTAATACATTTATACCCGGGAAGTATTTTTTTTTGCATTTTGATACGGTTCTGTTCGGGGGCGCACTATCCCCTGGCGAATTCCTCGCAGAACTGCGGCCGTGCTCATTTCGTAGTCATAAACAAAGATGCTTGAAATTTCTGTCTGAGCTTTGATACAGAGTAGCTTATAATCTCAATAACCTCTTTAAATTTCTTGAATTGTAAGCCCCACACCGTTGCAAAAAACGATGCGGATACATTCCAATACATTGAAATATATGTAGCAGGAGTTTGAGCTACAACTGCAGACTGAAGGACATTTAATTTCAGGAATGTCGAAGAATAAACCACTCGAATTCAGAGCAAGGTTTGGAGAAATTTATAATGTTTACAAAACTGAGGAGTACTTTTTAAAGATTGACACAATTCCCGATAGACTTGGTTTTCATGATTAGCAGGCACTGGAAATACTTGTCCCGAATCGAGCTGCAGGCTTGTTCTACCACACAGCAATTCGTTGTTGAAATTCAAAAAAAAATTCACAGGTTAATTCTGAATGACTTTCTAATCACGGACGCCTGCTTTAATGATTTCTCTGATGCCAGTTATTTGGCATTTTTATTACATCAATATAAGCTAATACCCGAAATTTCAGTCAAAAATATCAGCAAAATTTTTTACTAGCCGCGATCTTCTTCGAAACGTAGGGTCCAATTAAGCGCTAATTTCATAAAAATCAATTCCCACCAGTAAAATCGAATTATTTCCCGTTATTTCTGAATGATAGGTTTAGTTCATGTCAAAAATTCGACCCCATCGCGTTTAAACCGGTGAGTTATGACGAAAAGTTAGCCATAGCTCAATGCCCTTGTATTATTAACGGAGCCACACCTTAAGGTAAATAGAGGGACCCTCTCAAGGCAAATACTGTAAACAACTTAAATCCCCGTGTTGTGATTACTACATATTCCATAATCTTCAAATCTCATTTTTACCTTTCCTGCGTTTCAGTCTACCAAGTCTGGGCTTGTACCCAGTCCGCAGTCCAATTGTTTTGTACAGAATTGTTTTCCTTTTTTCCTTATCTGTTCCTTTGATGTATGCCATTTAAGGAATGGATACTTTTATTTCTTATCTGGTGATAGAGAAGTGAATCATCTTGCTATGGGTACAATTCTCGTGTCAAGTGTACACACAAGAACGTAAAAAGTATCTTAGTGTGGGTGAACCGTGAATATCCCACGGTACTGGATATTCACGGTTCTCCTACACTAAGATATTTTTTACGTTCTTGTGTGTACACTTGACACGAGAATTGTACGTATAGCTGGGGATGATTCACTTCACCGATCAACAGATAAGACATAAGGAGTATCTATTCGTTTAATATAAGGATTAAAGGAATTAGATAAGGAAATAAGGGAAACAATTCTGCCACAAGTCGGCCTAACCAAAACACACACTAGATCTCATGACTATGATCTTTAGTTTCTGCGTCAGCCTGGCAACCTCTTCAGTGGGGAAGTGAGACTCAGGCATATTTCCAACGGCATCAATCGAGTCTGTTGATACTCCAAGAGCTTTGAACGCATCTTTGGCGAGGTTAACGTAATAGTCAAACAGTTTTTTGTCCATCGTTGAAGTGGTCGAATGACAAAACGAGTTTCGCAAGAGTCGCAGCTGATCAACCGCGAGAGCAAATGTTTCCTCTTTGTTTCCACTCGGACTTACTACAGAGGTGTGGAAACTTCCATGAGTTATAGGGCGAGGCTTTACGTACAACTCACTAAGAGTTTTAGGTTTACCTTTGCTAACTGGTAAAGCGAAAGTTTGCGCGTAGATAGTGGCTTGAAACAGAGCGGTGCAATCCCACTCCTCGTAGGACTTGTTTGTGGGAACTTTGCAATTGGCTTTCCACCTCTCTTTTGTCAGAAGTAATTTTCTCACAACTATAGAGTCATCCCAGATCGGTCCTGATTTGAATTTATTGTCCCACATAAGTTTGAATGTCTGGCGTAAAGCTTTCGGGAATTCATCGACGACAATGGTTGAAAACTTGAAAAAGTTCAACTGCTCATCTGTAAACGACTTAACCATCTCTCACGCTAATGGCGTCGAATATCCGGTGTAGAGCGTTAGGGAAATGGTCGACGACAATGGTTGTACACTTGAAGAAGTTCAATTGCTCATCGGTATAAAACGACGTACTGACAAACATTGCTGATGCTTATGGCACACTCTCCCCCTTACATGGGGAAGGGTGCCCGCAGGTAGATTGGATGAATTTGTTGCAATTGGGTTTAAATCTGCTACCTGTAAAATAATACATGCGGGTAATCAGTCATCAGTTGCGTTTTGTAGTATGATTAACGATTAATATCGTTGACTTTTTATTCTTAATATTTATTTGAGATTTTCATTCTGTTGAAAGAATAAACAGATTCTTTGTTCTGTTCGAAGCGTTTGTCTATATGAATCCACCTCGGCTAACGGGGGGAGGCGGGGGGGCCGCTGGGGCAAAACCCCTTAACTTAGGATAACAGCTTAAAAAAAAAAACGCTGCGCAGTCTCCCCTCGTAGGACCAATATTTGTGGTAATCCCACCCTTCCTTCCTCCCTGAATTTCTAATTTCTTCGAATCGCTGATCCCCCGGTCCAAATTCCGCCACATGTGTTTGAAGGTATGGCGCAGGGCTTTAGGGAATTGACCGAACACAACGGTTGAAAACTTTAAGTTGAACTGCTCAGCTATATGCCTATCAACAGTGCTTCTACAATTCTAATGATCACTGTGGCTGTCGAATCTTCTATTGTTGCTTTCCTTTAGCATTCTCAAACCATACGTCCGTGTATGGCCTCTCGTGGCGTATTTTTTCATATTTCTTTGAAGAACAGTGAACTGAGTACCTTACGGGATTGTCGCGTGCACTTTTTCCGACAACTTTCTCGAAATAGCTGTATACAACTTTGTAGTTTGTACGTCGGTTCGGCTAAAAGGGAACCCTTCGTTATCATGCACGATGTTGCTGTACCACTGCTGGGACCTGAGTTAAATGTGTTTTCACCCAGTAAAGTTGTAGTTGTACCACTTCGAAAGATCGAACTTTGGGATTTATAAAGATACATTTTTGGGTAAACTGATAAACTCTTCTGGCCGATTCTATCTCGTGAATATGCTGTCGCTACTTTCTGTGAATAGCAAACAAGTACTAGAAAACCCAAATAAAAAAAGGATCGACTGAATGTAGATTGACCAGCTCTTCTAAAGAAACAATCGGCGCGGAAACAGTCGATTTTATCGACACCTAAGGGAAAAAAAAAAAAAAAATAATAATAATAATAATAATAAACTACCTGCAAGAACAACTGCGTGTATTCAATCAGTACCTTCAATGCTCAGAGAAATTAGACTTCAGTAGGTAAGCACATTCAGTCTCACGGGCGACCGAACTGAAGAGAATGGCTGGATCGAAAACTTAAAGTTGAGTCTAATTAGTGTCGAGGCCTGATTGTCGGTTCGTGAAGGAAATCGAAACTGGGTAAATCCCACGATCGTAAATGTCAATTTTGTATCAATCAATTGAATGTATACCTAATACTTGTGGAGTATTTGTGGGTGAAACATCTTTTAGTTTTGCAGACAATAGAACAACAGTCGTATAATGTTCAAAATTACTCATGACTATTAAAGAAGCCCAAAACTTCCGATGAATCAAAGGCAATACTTTTGTCTCCAGCGAAATCCGGGACTGAAGGATAATTTACATATGACGTCATATGTGTGTAGTCAAATGACGTCGAGCTTAATGAAAGGAAATTAAGGACGCACTGCCATTGTTTTAAAGGAAAGGCGTTTCTTTTTCTTTGCATTTTCTCTTTTACTGTAAATTCAACTGAAAGTATCATTGTCTCATAATGTAACTGAAAAATGAAAAAGAACAAATCAAGAGCTATGACTAAACCGGAACATCGAAGGGAAGAAAAAATTTGCATAAAACAACCAAGAGGACCCGCATCGAAATTCAAAACCTTCCAAAAAAATGGTTTGCTTACATTTACATTCTAGCTAGTCAAATCCTTAAACTTACTCTTTTGGTCAAAATTACATGCAAGTTCACTGATTGAATTTAGGCTGTAACAAAAAGGAGAAAAGCTTGAAAACGTCCCCCAAACAAACGCCTCGTTTAAAAAGCATTATGACAAAGCAGAACCCGCAAAAATTTCGTGCCACACGGTATATCCGCCAGAAAAATATAGCGCAGTTTTCTTGAAGAGATAAGCTGATACAAAAGAGTGAACTTTTACAAGAGAAACCAAACCTCCCGACAGTGATCTTCGTCAGCGACTGAATACCCGTTTTTCCAATTAGCCTTTTGGAGCTCAGTACCAAGTTTCGATCCGTAGAAAGGTCTGAATAATTAGTATGTCGCCAATAAATTTTTGCATATACAACTTTGTAGTTTGTACGTCGGTTCGGCTAGAACGGAACCCTTCCTTATAATGCACTTGTTGTTGTACCACGACTGGGACCTGAGTTAAATCAGGGGCACCTAATGTCAATTTTCGGAAAATATCTGTTCGGAAGACGATTTGAGATCCTAGAATTTTCGGAACATTTGTTGTAAAATTTCTTGCTTGCCTGCCTCTCCTAGGATTTTCGAACATCTAAAAAATGGTATTGCCCATTTTTAACGCATTTTTACCCTGAAAAGGTCACCTAGAATTTTCGGGAGCCTTTTTTTCTGGCTGAAAATTTCGAAAAGGTAAGTTTTGATCCCTATCATTTTCGGATTACTAGACTTTCAGCTTCGAAATCCGACCAGACGAATAATTTTTAGTGGATAAAAATATGCCTGTATCTACCCGGTTTAAATACTAAAATACGTTCAACAATGCTATGTTTAACTGGTTTTGAACTAATTCTCGATGGGTGCCCCTGTTAAATGTGTTTTCACCCAGTAAAGTTGTAGCTGTAAGCACTTTAAAAGATCGAATTGCTCCGCACTTTGGGATTTATATGGAGAAATCTTTGGGTAAACTGATAAACTCTTCTGGCCGATTCTATCTCTTGAATGCTACATAATGCTGTCGCTACTCATTGTGAATAGCAAACAAGTAAAAACCCAAATAAAAAAAAGGATCGAAAATGTAGATTGACCAACTCCTCTAAATCAAAGGAACAATCGGTGCGGAAACAGTCGATTATATCGACACCTAAGGAAAAAAATAATAATAATAATAAAAGGCATGATACTGATGAGATCGTGGCACGGTACCGACTGCCAACTTTGCAGTAAATGTGGATTGGAAAGAGCTAATAGCTGGTATGAACAGATTAGCCGGATCGAGGGAATGGTGGAAAGTGAAAACTTCAAGATACTGTGGGATTTCACAGTCCAGTGTGATCGAAAAATTGAGGCAAGAAGACGAGACATTGTCTTTACTGATAAGAAGGAGAGAGAGGTTGTCATAATTGATGCTGCCATACTAGGTGATGAAAGGGTGAAAGATAAGGAACTTGAGAAGTTAGAGAAATACCAACTATTGAAGGATGAAATTGCAAAAGTCTGGCGCATGCGAAAAGTCATTGTAGTGTCTGTTTTGTTGTTATTGGGGCCCTTGGAGCCGTATCAGTCAACTTTAAGGAGTACATGAACCGACTCGGCGTGAACGTCAGGTTAGAAGTTATCCAGAAAACAGCATTGTTGGGGACAGTGAAAGATACTAAGGAAAGTACTGCCTCCCTGTAAGAAGAATTGGACCCATGGTGACTTGTTAAAACACGCTCCCAAGGACTATAAACCAGGCCGAACATCCTGCCTTAGTCTAATAATATAATAATAATAATAATAATAATAATAATAATAATAGTACTAAACTACCTGCAAGAACAACTGCGTATATTCAATCAATACCTTCAATGCTCAGAGAAATTAGACTCTGTAGGTAAGCACATTCAGTCTTCACGGGCGGCCGAACTGAAGAGAATGGTTGGATCGAAAACTAAAAGTTGAGTTTAATTAGTGTCGAGGCCTGAGTGTCGGTTCGTAAAGGAAATAGAAACTGGGTAAATCCCACGATCGTAAATGTCAATTTTCTGTCAATCAGTTGAATGTATACCTAATACTTGTGGAGTATTTGTGGGTAAAACATCTTTTAGTTTTGAAAACAATAGAAGAACAGTCGTATAATATTCAAAATTACTTATGAGTATTAAAGAAGCCGAAAAAACTGATGAATCAAAGGAAATACTTTTGTCTCCAGCGAAATCCGTGAAATGAAGTATAATTTGCATACTGTGTATGTCATATGTGTGTAGGCAAATGACGTCGTGCTTAATAATGTTGAGCGAAACTTATAAGCACGCATTGCCGTTGTTTTAAAGGAAAGGCGTTTCTTTTTCTTTGCAGTTTCCCTTTTACTGTAAATTCAAATGAAAGTATCATTGTCTCATAATGATACTGAAAAATGAAAAACAACAAATCAAGAGCTATAACTAAACCGGAACATTGAAGGGAAGAAAAAATTTGCATAAAACAACCTTAAGGTCCTTGATCGAAATTCAAAACCTTCGAAAAGAATGGTTTTCTTACATTTACATTCTAGCTTCTCTAATCATAGGCGTACGGGCAATTTTTTGCCAGGGGGGTAATCCATTTGACCAAAAAATTTTTGCAAGTTGCCCAAATTTTTACAAAACAGTCGAAAGGAAACTAGGGCCATGCAACAAAATAGGCCGTACTGGCATATGAAAGTGGCTCGATACAGTTTTTCAGAGTCAATACCTGCCAAGTTTTAGCATAAACTACGTCGCCACAAACAAGCATTTGGAAAAAATTGCCACCACAGTTGTATTAGATAAAGAGGGAAATTTGTGATGACCAGGATTGCACTGACATCGGAGCTGTCATAGCAACGAAATGACGCCATTACCTATTATACTTGCAGCAATATTTCTCACTGGGAACTGTTCTTACAAAATCGTTCAGGGAAGCTCTTTCCTCTAATAGTCGCCTCGATGTTCGTGAAGTTAAAACGGAACTGTAAGAGCGTTATCGAGATATTTTGGGATGAAGTTTTTATCGTTAGAAATAAGG